AGAAGAAGAAGAAGAAGAAGAAGAAGAAGAAGAAGAAGAAGAAGAAGAAAGAAAGGGAAAAAGAAAGTGCCAGAGGTGACCTCAGCTTCATTATAATGTTAAAATCCCTTCTGAATATTCATCCCAAGGCCTAATAAAAGGAGCCTGCTTTCCCCTCTTTGGAGAGACACTGTTTTGGAAATTGTTCCTTGTGATCTCCTTGTTTGTACAAATAGTTGACCTTGTGAGTCAACTCCACCTGGTGTAGTCTGCCTGTTAAGTCACCAAGGAGTGGGTCCACTTTGGTTTGGTAACACTCTCACGTCCAGTTCATTGACGTATAATATATAGTATTGATGTATAATATATAGTGAATAACACTCTTCAAGTCCAGTTCATTGACGTATAATATATAGCAAAAGTCATCCTTTCTTTAGGAGCATAGTTCTGAGAGTTTTGACAAAAACATAAGAGTATCATATTGAAGACATAGACTATTTCCAGCATCATAAAATGTTCCCTCCTTGGCCTTTGTTGTCAGCATCTTCTACCCCCAACTTCATCTGCTGGCAACTATTGGTTTCATTTCTATGTGTATAATTTCATGAAGTTACATTTATGTAATCATACAGCAGGTTGCCTTTGATGTCTGGCTTCTCTTACCTAGCTTTTAAGATTCATCTAAGTTGTTGCATGTATCAGTAGTTTGTTTTTATTTCTGAGGAATATTCTGTCATATGGATGAACTACACTTTATAAATATGTACATATTACATTTACATGTACATAAATTACATTTAATATGTAAATGATGGACATATTACCAGTTTGAGTTTATTATAAATAAGGAACAATTTAAATTTTAATAGCAATTGTGTTACAATTCCTAGAGCAAGTTCATTTAGAGTGTAATTTTTAAGGTCTAAAATATTCTTTAAACTAGTTTTAACCAATTTTAAACTATCTGCATAAAATCCTAAGCAACTAAAAGTTTCTAGTACCCTCTTAAGTTCAGTTTCTGTAAACTTTATTTCCCATATACACCTCAAATACACATAATTCCATAGACTGATACACACACACACACACACACACACACACACACACACACTCCTCACCTAGGTTATGTAGCTGGAATGGAAAACTTCAAGATTTATCCAGTTACCATGGAAGTTCATAAAGAGAGATCTGAATGTATTGGGGGGGGTGCGCAGGGGGCCTATAATGACAAACCTAGGTTTTATAAACATTAGTCCATCAACTAGCAATCCTATTTTAGGATGCCCAAACCATTGTGGGGCTATAAATAGTAGGACAGATGCAGAGGGAACTGAAAAGTTTGCTTGGGGATGGTGGAGTTTCCATAACTTTTGGTTTTCATAAAGTGTTGCTCCATTTTCTCTGTAGTTATTACCAATACCCTTTGTGCCCTGCATTCGATACCAGCATGTCACTGCATTTCAAGTTTCACAAAATACCTCTGAGAGTTACTGTTTCCAGTGGAAACAGGGAATATCATTTTAGATGTGGAAATTTACATTGGTGATTGAGCTTGGTAAAATTTCTCACTGAGAAATAAAGAGTGTAGTGATTAAGTGCTCAGTTCTGGAATCAGAATACCAGGGTTCACCCCCAGTTCTGCCATTTAATGGTAGTGTGATTATGGGGCAGTTACTTAAACACTATCCCAGTTCTGTTGTCTGTAAGATGGGGATACTAGCTGTCTTCTTTTAACAGGAATGTTTTAAGAATAAAATAAGTCAGCGCATGGAGAGCATTTAGAAAACAAAAAAAAAAAACAACAGTATATAGTGTGTACGGAATAAATGATAGTTTTTTTATTATAATGTATTCCAAATATGACATCAAATTATATAATGTAGTCTGATTGGCAAAACCCTATAATAAAACCAATCATTATTTACTGAATTCTTACTATGTTCCAGGCATTTCACCTAGATATTAAAATGAATTAACCCAATATCTCAGCAACTTTAATATGATTCCCATTTTACAGACAAGGGACTTGAGAAACAGATAGTTTAATCAACTTACCCATTATGACAGAATTCTTGGGAGTAGAATGGGACCCAGTCTGATTGTAGAGTTAATATATAGTACCTCTTCCCTACCAAAAATAAACAAACCATAGGTGATAACATTTGTTAAATCATTACATGTTTAAAAAGTTTATTAGTTCAACTCTTGATTAATGAATTTATTCAATAAGTAGTGTATTTTATGATTAAAATTCCTGTGCAAATTTTTATTAAATCACAAAAATAGAACACAAGTTTCATAGCATCATAAAATGGTCAAGTCTTCAGAGCATCTATAAGCTCTTCTATTATATAATTATATAAATAAGGAAACACCCGGAATAGTGCCACAATTTTATTCTAGATGATACAGCTAGTCGCTGAGTATATTTCAAGACTACTGATTTAGGTCTCCTTTCAGGACATTATACTTAAATGACATATATTTACCTAAGTCACTTTGTTGGCAATGCTTCATGAAAATATTACCCACATATTTGAAAGAAGAATACATCGTTATCATCATCGTTACATTGTTATTACTTTCAGAGGTGATGCATAGATGGACTCGGTGTGGAGGACGAGCCCGCACAATGAACTATTTCTTTTTAAACGATTTCTGCAATTTTTACCTTTATCCTTCCAAGTATTATTTTTTACTCTGTAATAGAACCGCTGACAAGTTTTACACCCGTCTCAAGAATAAAGGCTGTTCTCGAGACGGTGCCTGCTCAGAGCAGCTTTACGGAAACCCCCAGCTTTACGTTCAATCCTCCGATTACCTCGCCAGCAAAAGAGGAGAAAACAGTTAGAGAAAGGGAGGGCGGGGCTATGGGAAAGATGGGGCGGGGCTGCGGCGGGCCCTGCGAGGGGCGGGACTGTTGGAGTGTCCAATGTGAGGGCGGGCCTTTAACGGCTTTCTGTACGGTTGAGCGGTTCGTTTTGCGCATGTGCAGACCGTTTCAAACCGCGGAGACCGCTGGGTGCTCCGGAAGGGCCGAGCCAATGGGTGAAGAGCGTCGGTAGCGCGCTTACTAGCTCGCAGTTCCTTCAGTTTTGCCACCTCCCACCTCAGGGGCGCTCCTGGGGTGCCGCCTAACTGCTCCTCCCGCGACTCTGTCTGTACCGGGCTTCTTCGAGTCACGGCCCGCGAGGGCTTGCGTGCCAGACCCCCGGCGCGGGTGGGGCCGGGTCGGAAAATGGCTGCGACGGGTCTGGTAAGTGCAGGCTCCTGCCGCTTCTGCGTGTGGGAGCTCGGCCGTCCCTGGCACCTGCGCTCGGGGCGGGAGAGAATGAAATGTTTTACTGTGGCTTCTTGGAGATTTCAGTGGAAAAGCCCGCCAAGTTTTTGAGATCAGAGCTGATCGTGTGCTGATAGCCAGGAGTTAACTTCCTTGTATTGTTTCCCCACAGGTTTCTTTTAGTTTTGGTTGTGATGGCATCTGTCTCTTCAGAGAATCTTGTGATTGCTACTGTTTTGGTCTAACTCTGGTTTCTAGTCCTCCAAATAATTTTCTGTCTATAGAAGTTTTGAAACGCCTACAACGTGTGGACTTGCTGGTCTGCAGAAGCATATTATTTGTGGAGTGCTTGTTACTGGTAAAGTTTTCTGAAAGGCAGGTGTTAGTTAAAAAGTGCTTAAGGTATGAATGCCCAAGGGGGCGGGAACTAATTTTTTGTTTCCGTGTTATTGGACTCCCTTGGTATTCAGTATTCTGCATATCACACTTTGCTTATAGTTACTATATATTGTACAACCCATGTCGTCCCCTGCCCTAAACGTGTGTTTTCTACTTTATCACTCTTTTTAAGAAAATCTTCACCAATGATATCCCGCTTATATAAAGTTATAAAGTAATGCTTGTTTGCATAAGATGTGTAAAAAATACTGTAGAGCGTCCTTTTAGTGTGAGCACATACATTGTTTATATTATATAGAATTAGAAATAAAGCCATTCTCATTGTAGGAAGAGGAGGGGAATAAAATTTACCTAATGCCCACGGTTCCTTTTTTTAAAGAGTTTATTTTTTTAGAGCAGTCTTAGGTTCTTAGCAAAAGTAAGAGGAAGGTACAGAGATTTTCCATATACCCCCTTACTCCCACACCTGCATAGCTACCCCTGTTGTTAGGATCCCCCGCCAGAATGATGTATTTATTACAGTTGTTGAACCGCATTCACCCATCATAATTGCCCGAAGTCCATAATTTATACTAAGTCTGACTCTTGGTGTTGTACATTCTGTGTGTTTGGACAAAAGTCTAATGACACGTAGCCATCTTTGTGGTATCATCGAGTGTTTTTACTACCCTACATATCCTCTGTGTTCTGTCTATTTCTCCCTCCGTCCCCACTGAACTCTGGTAACCACTGATCTTTTTACCATCTCGATAGTTTTGCTTTTTTCCAGAATGTCATATAGTTGAAATCATACATACATAGCCTTTTCAGATTGACTTGTTTCATTTAGAATGACGCGTTTAAGATTTTTTCATGTCTTTTCATGGCTTGGTAGTTCATTTCTTTTTGGTGCTCAATGATATGCTATCTTCTGGATGTACCACACTTTATCCATTTACCTAGTGAAGGACATCTTGTTGCTTTCAAGTTTTGGCAGTTATAAAATTGCTATAAACATCTGTGCAGATTGTTGTGTGGACATAAGTTTTCAACTCCTTTGGGTAAATAACAAGCAATATGATTGCTAAGTCATGGTGAGAGTCTGTTTACTTTTGTAAAAACCACCAAATCTGCCTTCCAAAATGACTGTACCATTTATATTAAAAAATAAATGAGAGTTGGGGCACCTGGGTGGCTCGGTTAACTGCCTGACTTCAGCTCAGGTCATGATCTCACAGTCTGTGAGTTCAAGCCCTGCATCAGGCTCTGTGCTGACAGCTTGGAGCCTCGAGCCTGCTTCGGACATGTGTCTCCCTCTCTCTCTGCCTCTCCCCTGCTCATGCTCTTTCTCTCTTGCTCTCAAAAATAAACAAACATTAAAAAAAAATAAAAAAAAATAAATGAGAGTTTTCTGTTGTGCCATATCCTTACCAGCATTTGGAATTGTCAGTGTTCCAGATTTTGGTCATTCTAATAGGTATAGTGGTATCTCATTGTGGCTTTTAATTTGCTTTTTCCTGATGATATGTGATGTGGAGCATCTTTTCATATGCTTTTTTGCCATCTGTACATCTTATCTGAGGTATAAGGTCTTTGGCCCATTTAGTTTTTAATTGGGTTGTTTATTTTCTTATTGTTGAGTTTTAAACATTCTTTGCATATTTTGGATAACAGTCGTTTTCAGATGTACCTTTTGCAGATATTTTTTTCTAGCCTGTAGCTTGTCCGCTCATCCTCATTTTTGTTTGTTTGTTTGTTTTAAACCATATATTTTAGTTGGGTCACATGGCAAGAATTCATTCTTTTTCGTTGCTGAGTAGTATTCCATTGTGTCTATATACCACATCTTCTTTATCCATTCATCAGTCAATGGACATTTGGGCTCTTTCCATAATTTGGCTATTGTTGAAAACACTGCTATAAACATTGAGGTGCAGGTGCCCCTTCGAATCAGCACTCCTGCATCCTTTGGATAAATTTCTAGTAGTGCAATTTCTGGGTTGTAGGGTAGTTCTATTTTTAATATTTTGAGAAATCTCGTACTGTTTTCCAGAGTGGCTCTGCCAGTTTGCATTTCCACCAACCATGCAAAAGGGTTCCCGTTTCTCCACATCCTCGCCAACATCTGTTGTTTGCTGAGTTGTTAATTTTAGCCACTCTGACCGGTGTAAGGTGGTATCTAAATGTCGTTTTAATTTGTATTTCCCCGGTAATGAGTGGTGTTGAGCATCTTTTCATGTGTCTGTTAGCCATTTGGATGTCTTTGGAAAAGTGTCTATTCCTGTCTTCTGCCCATTTCTTCACTGGATTATTTGTTTTTTGGGTATTGAGTTTGGTGAATTCTTCATACATTTTGGATACGAACCCTTTATCAGATACACCATTTGCAAATATCTTTTCCCATTCCATTGTTTGCCTTTTAGTTTTGTTGATTGTTTCCTTTACTGTGCAGAAGCTTTTTATCTTGATGAGGTCTCAATGGTTCATTTTTGTTTTTATTTCCCTTGCCTTCAGAGACATGTCAAGTCAGATGTTGCTGCAGCTGAGGTCAAAGAGGTTGCTGCCTGTTTTCTCCTGTAGCATTTTGATGGTTTCCTTTTTCATTAGTTTTTTCATCCATTTTGAATTTATTTTTGTGTATGGTGTAAAGAAAGTGGTCCAGTTTCATTCTTCTGCATGTTGCTGTCCAGTTCTCCCAGCACCATTTGCTAGAAGAGACTTTTTCTCCATTAGGCAATCATGTTTTTAATTATTAAGAATTTTTCTTGGTCTTAATTTTGTTGTTTAGTGTTTATAGTATATTACTTTTGTTTTATGAGTCCAGTATTTCAAATCTCTCTTGAAGGTACTAATGGGATTTTTGTTTTTGTTTTTTTCAAGTTTTTTCTTTCTCTCTCTCTCTCTTTTTTTTTTTTTTTTTTAAGTAGAAGCCTAGTTGACACTCAGTGTTACATTAGTTTTAGGTGTACAACATAATAATTCAACAAGTGTGTATGTTGGGTTATGCTCTTCTTTCTCATTCTTGGTATCAGTTTTCTCTTGGCCCTTTTTCTTCTCCATTTTTAAAATTTATATCTTGATATTCGTGTTTTGTTTTAGAGACCTCTGAGTGTCTCCTGATCCACAGATGCTGGTGATATTTAAGACAGACAATAGAATACAGTTTTTTAAACTTGTATTTATAGGGATAGGGGATGTGGGAGTCTGTTACTCTGTTCATTCCCTTTCTCACTCTTAGCCTCCTCATATTTTGAATTTTGTAGTTCTGCATTGTTATGGTTTTCTCCTGAGCAGATCAGCTTTACTCCTCATCAAAGACTGGATCCTCTGAACTAACTTTTGTCTGCTACTGCTTTTATTCTGTTTTATCAATTAACATACTTCATTTATTTTCCATCTTCTACAAATTTCTTAAATTTGTTAACAGATGGTCCTCTCTTCATTGTCTTTTTCATTGGTCTATGCCATTGTAGCCCTTAACTATTATTGTAGAGGAATCTTCCTGCAAGGAAAGGAGATAAGTAGATACTGCTTATCAACCAGCCTGAATTATTGGAAGCCCAGATAGTTGTGGTTTTGATGATGGGAAAGGTATGGGAGTAAGGGGAGGAAGATGGACTGATTCCCAGGGTGAACAAATTAGTATAAGCAAAGATTTTGAAACAGTAGATATGAGGCAAGTTCTCCTTCACTTGATCCAGAAGAATTCCTCTTTTATGGTACTATAATAGACAATAAGCAAAACTTGCTGAATGAACAAATGAAGAACTTAACTTTTCACCAGTTTGATGATTTACTTTTCTTTCAGGATCATCTCAAAAATGACTACAGAAGAAGATTTTGCCGACCGTCCAGGTGAGTTACATATTTAACTTTTAAGGTCATTTTTATTTCCATTTTTAGGAAGTTATTTTTAAAAGAAGAAGGCAGAAATTACTTCTGTCTAACATGATTTCTGTGCCCACTGGTTAAGTATAGTCATCTTAGTGATTTTATACTAACAGAGAAATATTAACGCAAGCAGTGTAATGACTACTTAATGGCAGTGAGAAAAGAAATTCACCTGATAAATTATGGATCAGGAAGAGGTAGTCTCAGTTCTAAGTGACAGCCATGAGGAAAGCAGTCTATAGAA